AACACCAAGGTTGGTGAAGGAAGAAATGAGAAGGTGAAGGAGGAGGTGCATGGAGCTGAGTTTCCCCCTGCAACCCATTGCGAGAGCACAGGTTGACCCGCCTGCAGCCTGTAGAGGTTCACCAGTGGGCCACAAAGGTGGTGGGCGGCCCCTGAAGAAGCTGTAACTCGGGGCAGTGTGTGCTGGAGCAGTTCTTGTGTGTGAGGGAACTGCAACCTTGAGCAGACCCAGATTGGAGCTTTGTGGACTTGGGCTGAAGCAGTTTGCGTGTGAGAGAACTGCAGCTGTGGGCAGACCCACATTTGGACTTCTGTGGAGGACTTTTCTCCTGTGGGAAGGGTGCCACGTGGAAGCAGAGGGAGACTGGGAGGAGGTCTCCTCTACCCTTGAAGAGGAAGGAGTAGAAGAGACCGCATGTGATTAACTGACTTCAACCCCCGTTCCCATTCCCCCACGTCGCTGGGCAAAGAGGGGGAGGTAAAGAAACTGGGAACAAAGCTGAGCCCCGGAAGAAGGGAAGGGTGAGGGGAAGGTGTCTGCCTTTAAGATCTGGTTGTATCTCTCACTGTTCTACTCTGATGTTATTGGTAACAAATTAAAATTGTTTTGTTTTGGTTTTTTTTCCTCCCTATGATGAGTCTGTCTTTTGCCCGTGACCATTAAGTGGTGAGAGCCCTCCCAGTCCTTATTTTGTCTAGTTCCCTTTTTTGGGGCATCGTGGTGCTTAGTTGTGCACTGGGCCTAAACCACGACAGTATTGTCCATCTTTAACTGAAACCTATAACAAAGTTTTATCACTTTGTTCCTACAAGATAGAGTGTTGTAGTCCTTACAAATTTGCAGTTTTCCTCAACAGAAAACTGACTCTAAAATTCTGTCCCATTAAACCAGGACAGTATTCTACCCCTTATTCTATACCATTTATGTCACATCCAAGTTAGTATTACTTTTCTGTTTAAATATATATATATACACAACCTATAACAAAGTTTTATCACTTTGTTCCTACAAGATAGAGTGTTGTAGTCCTTACAAATTTGCAGTTTTCCTCAACAGAAAACTGACTCTAAAATTCTGTCCCATTAAACCAGGACAGTATTCTACCCCTTATTCTATACCATTTATGTCACATCCAAGTTAGTATTACTTTTCTGTTTAAATATATATATATACACACACACACAAACACAGGTATTGTTCCCTTAGTCTGTGGGCCATCTCTCTAAAGAGTTCATTAAGCCCCAAACCAGTGAGTTCCATCTGTAATGGCAGTCTTTCGGGATAGGAGAAGTATCATAGAATCATTCTATGATTCTGTTTCTATGAAGTAGTGTGGAAGTTACTCAGTCAGCAGGTCAGGACTAGGCTTCAGTACGGTGTGATGGACAGATGAGGTTGGGTGCAGTAGGACGATGTGTCGTGCATCTGGAGCTCACAGTTGGTGTATCTGATGTGGTCCATGTTCATGGTCTGTGGTATAGGTGCTGATTTGTGATATATAACTAGAGAAATGATGGTAAGCAGTATCATATAACAACTAGCATCATACAGTTCAAATTACTGGCTATTTTCACCCAGAATCAAATCTCCTTGAGGCACACATCAAACTTCACCATCTTCCTGCATTACCAACCAGGTACACCCAGGTCCCTGAGCAAAAGCAATTCCATTAATGGGTTTGCCTTTACCCAACACAGGAGTAACCCAAACAGTTTTTCCCAACACATTCCTTACATGCACCACAGGGACCCTGTCTCCTTCTACTGTACGTAGAAGTTCTGATTGAGCAGGGCCAGCTCGATTGAGAGACCCCCTGGTGTTAACTAACCAAGTGGCTTACGCTAAATGTTCATCCCAATTGTTAAATGTCCCAGCACCCATTGCTTTTAGTGTAGTCTTTAATAGCCCATTACATCATTCAGCTTTCCATGCAGCCTGGTGCATGATAGGGGATGTGATATATCCACTCAATACCATGCTCTTTAGCCCAGTTGTCTATGAGACTGTTTAGAAAATGAGTCCCAGTGTCTGACTCAATTCTTTCTGGAGTACCATGAAGCCACAAGACTTGCTTTTCAAGGCTTAAAATAGTGTTACAGGCAGTACCATGGGGCACAGCATAGGTTTCCAACCATCCAGTGCTTGCTTCCACCATTGTAAGCACATGGAGTTTGCGTTGGTGAGTGTGTGGAAGTGAGATACAGCCAATTTTCCAGGCCTCCTCATACTTATATTTCAACCACCCATTCCACTGAGTTTTTAACCATTTGGCTTGTTTAATTGCAGCACGTTTCCCATTCATGGATGACCTGTGCAATAGTGTCCATGGTCAAATCCACCCCTCGGTAACGAGGCCATCTATATGTTGCATCTCTTCTTTGATGACCTGAAAGTGTCATGAGCTCACCAAGCTAACAATAATTACCCCTTATGTTGCCAGTCCAGGTCCACTTGAGACACTTGTATCTTGGCAGCCTTATCCACTTGTTGGTTGTTTTGATGTTCCTCAGTGGCACGACTCTTGGGTATGTGGGCATCTCCGTGACGTACCTTTACAACAAGCTTCTCTAGTCGGGTAGCAATATCTTGCCACAATGTGGCAGCCCAGATGGGCTTCCCACTGTGGGCCAGTTCTTTTTCTTCTATTGATTTAACCATCTCCACAGGGCATGTTCCACCATCTAGGACAGAGTAGGCTCCCACCTACTCTGTCCTGGCGCTGCACCATGCCCCGGGAGGCAGCCAGGCTGTGCCGGCCTCCAGCATGCTCTCCCCTCTGCAGGAAGACCATTGAGGGGTTGGTGGCGAGAATGGCTGCTCCCCCATTTCCATCCAGCAAATGGTGTATGGTGAGTGCTGAGCAGAGCAGCCAGGCAGGGCTGGGCATGGCACCTGGGAAAAAGGGAGGTTTCTCACTTTGAGGCTGGCTGGGTCCCCTGAGAGGCTGGGAGGTGCCTGGGGTGGCCCTGGATGGGTCAGCAGCATTCCTGTCCCGGAAGTGGCTGGTGTGGGCTTCAGGCTCATGAGCGGCGCCTTCTCCATGATCAATCTCCTGGCAGAAGCGTTAGGGCCCAGCACCGTGGGCATCCATGGGGACTCACAGCTCTACTTCCTGACCTCAGGTGAGTGACTGACACTCTTTGCCCACATCTCTGCCCCACCACAGAGCTGACTCCCCTGTGCTCTCCCCTCCATGTTGCACCCTGCTGCCACTCTCCATACCCATCTGAGTCTTTTGTGATCCCCTGTCACATCTCTCTGTGCCAAACTTCTCTCTGTCCTGCAACCCTCTCTGCTCCTCTCCCCCATCCCTCCCAGTGCCTCCCAGTCTGAAACAGTAGTGCCCCTATTCCCCTTTCCCAGCTCCTCTCCATCCCTCCCTGAGCCTGCAGGCTGGGCCAGGGCAAGTGGCTCCCCAGTGACACCCCTCTGCTGCTTCCTGCAGCCTTTATGACCATGGTGCTGATTTTCCTTCACACCTTCTGGGGGATACTCTTCTTCCACAGCTGTGAGCACTGGTGCTGGTGGGAGATCACAGCTGTTGTCATCATGCACCTTGCCGTTTTGGGGTTGGTGAGTAGCCAGGAGTGGAGCTCTGCATTGGGACCTATATTATTCGGGGATGGCTGTGGTGCGTTCTGGTCCTTGTGCTGGGGGAGTAACAGCCTTCGGCACTAGCGAAGAAGTTGGGTTTCAGGGATTTGCAGCCCACACGGGACAGGCCCTTCGCAATCTGAATGCCAAAACTGGTGTCCTCTGACCCATTCCACTCATTGAGGTGGTGATGCTGCCACCCATCCTGGCCCTGTCCTCTCCTGCCTGCTCACCCTTTCCCTCTCCCACCTCTCTCCCCAGATGTTATCCAACCCCCCATACATGGGCAACCTGATGCCCACCTACCTGCTGATGGCCACTGCCACCACTTGGGCTTACCTGCTCTCAGGGGGCTCTGCCCAGAATCCACAGTCCTTCCTGCTCTGTAAGTCCTGCTCCATAATGGGGATAGAGGACCCTGGGAGAGGTTGCTACCTTTGACTGCTGGAGGCTTGAGCCCAAAGAAACCCATTGCTTCTCCCCCTGCCACAGAGAATGTGCTATCTCCTGTGCCAGGGCAGGGGAAACCTGTGCCTCCTCCTCACTGCAGGGAGGAGGAAGTGGCTTTGCAAAGTGTTTCCAAGCTCTGGGACAGGGCTGACCACTATGGTGCTACTTTCTCTGCCTCTTGGTCCAGCCTTGCTGCTTTGGGAGCCACAGCCCCCCATGCTGGACTGTGGTAACTGCAGTGAGCTTGCATCCCAGCATGTGAAGGGATGGGTGAGAAAGGGATGGGAAGGTGTGTTGGGAGCAGCTACCAGTACTGGAGGACCCAAGGGGTCAGGAGAAGACAGTACCGTATGGAGGGTGGCAGAAGGCTTAGGAAGAGATGCAACTCCGCAACTGATGCCAGCACAGATTGGGAAGGGGGTTCAGGGGGCCATGCCAGTGGATCATTGCCATCTTCTGCCCTCGGAGGAGGAGTTCCAGGCTGGGACCAGCCCTTGATGCTGTGCCGTAGGGCTGGGAGGGAGAAACTGCCATCAGGCTCAGGGCTGAGAAGTCTACAGTGCGCTTTTATACCAGTAAGTGTGGGTTTGTGCCACTACTGGTAGCAGTGGCTCGTGCTGGTGTGATTGCAGAGGGTGTCTGGCAGTTGCAGATCCTAGTTGCCTGAAAGTTTTGCTCCTGCTTTGTCCATCCCTGGTTTTATCACTTTGAGGTGGAGGCTGCTGAGAGGTAGAGACCTGCAGGTTCCTCCCCTCTCCTAGGTCCAGCCCATTTCTCTTGGCTTTGGTGAGGCCATGGAGATCCCCAGGGCTTAGCTCTGGCTATGCTGGAACTGCCAGGAGGCAGTTGCAGATCCTAGTTGCCTGAAAGTTTTGCTCCTGCTTTGTCCATCCCTGGTTTTATCACTTTGAGGTGGAGGCTGCTGAGAGGTAGAGACCTGCAGGTTCCTCCCCTCTCCTAGGTCCAGCCCATTTCTCTTGGCTTTGGTGAGGCCATGGAGATCCCCAGGGCTTAGCTCTGGCTATGCTGGAACTGCCAGGAAGGGAGGCAGCCATGAGTCAGGGACTGCTCCAGCTATGTCAGAGCTGGAGGGGAAGCTGGGTAGGGGTTAGCCATCAAGGAAGCTGTGGCTCTGCCAACATTCATCTCCAGCCCTACTCCAGCCCTACCAAGCCACAGCTATGTTTCTCCAACACTTTGCAGAAACACAAATACACCATGCAGCCTCTCGTTCACTCCTCCCTTCCCCAGTGAGGTAGAGGAGAGAATTGGAAAAGTAATAGAACTTATCAGTTGAGATAAAGCCTATTTAATAATTAAAATAAACCAAACTAAAATAACAATAATTACTTCTAATAAAAATAGGAACTATGTTAATAAAGCAATCAGAATTATACTCAGCTCACAAACAGCAGTTGCTAGCTATGTGCCAGTGGAAACATGATAAGGGAGGGGTAAGCCTCAGGAACTGCACAAACTGGATGAGATGGCCACCATCCCAAGAAGAAGGGGAGAGAAGAGAGAAGAGAAGGAAGGGGTCATCCTCTGCAAACTCCATGTTTTATAGTGTGTGATGTTTATGGGATATACTACATTCTGTTAGTCAGCAGCTTGGATCACAAACAGATCATCTGTCCTGGGTCACCTGTCCCAGAAAATCCCGGGCTTTCACTTCCCCTCCCCTCCATCCTCCTGTGCAGAGAGAAGGGAAAAAAAAACAAACCAAATCAAACGCCAAAACAAAACCAAAAGAAACTGTAACTACAGGTGCAGACAAAAGACTGAAAAACAAACCTTGAGACAGTATAAACACTGGCATGTTATCATATTACTCCCAGTACAAATCCAAAACAAAAGTCTCACTAACTACTGAAAGAGGGAGTTAGAGAAATTTTGGGAAACACTGTATTGCTTATCACTTATCAATTGTTGTGCATACTAAGCATACTGGTTAC